GAAGAGAACAGGAGTAACCCAGTCAAAGCTTCTTCTGAGTGAACGCAGACTAAACTGCTGTCTACCAGTGTATAATTGCACTGGTTGCATGCCATGAGCCTCTGCTGCACCACTAAGTAAATTACATGTATCGAGTGACAGATGATGCATTCTCCTTTCTTCTCCTCTCTCCCCATTCATTTTTCTTCTTTAAGAAGAAACAGACTTGGACTTTAAGAATTAACTCTGAGATCCGGCTCAAAATTATTTTGGCCCAGTAAGACTTCAAGCAAAGGCTTTTCCCCTAAAAATGTTAATAGAATGTATTTGTATTCATATTACAAGTGACATTTATTACAGTAACGAGCCTGCAGAAGGCAGTTTTAACATTTTATCTAATTTGAGAAAATGCAGAAACTGATGGACTGAGTCAGATCCATCACCACAAAGTCCACTGTACAATTTCCAGCAGTGATCATTGTCAGCCACTTCAAAGAAAAGAATAAACAACTTTGCATTAGGCTGTTGTATGAACAGCTTCTGCATCTGGAATGCTCTTAATTTCTAGCAGTTAGAGCATGTTAAAAAAAAAAAAAAAAGCATATTATGTCAGAGAAATAGGGCTGGAGAGGACATCAAGAAATAATTTTGTTCACATCAGCATGTCTCCAATACTCCCAACAGACACTGGTCTATCTTGGTTTTAAAGTCTCCAAATACTCCATAGCTCTTTTATGGCAGCTCGTTCCCATCCTCTACTTTTATTAAGGTCTAGATTCATAGAAAAGTATAGGTGAGAAGGGACCTCTGGAGGTTTCCAGTCCTTGTACTGCTCAGAGTAGGGCCAATTCACAGCAGGTTGCTCGAGACCTCTTCCAGCTGAGCTCTGACTATCTCCAAGGACAAAGATTCCACTTCCTCTCCGGACAACCTCTTCCAGTATTTGACCATCATTATGGTGAAATGTTATTCTTAATATATAGTTGGAATTTCCTTCTTGTAAGCACTGCCTGTTGCTTCTTGTCCTTTTGCTGTGCACCTCTGCTATGTCTGGCTCATCAGCTATCAGCTGTAAGATCCCCCTTTGCTTTCTTTTCTCCATGCTGAACATTCCCAGTGCTCAGCACCTCCTCCTACATCTTGTAGGACAGCCACTAAGCATCTTACTGGCCTCTGGGTGTGCTCTGCTATGTCCATGTCTCAAACGGTGTAGCACAGAACCAGACACAGTAGATCTGATGTGGCCTCATCAGTGCTGAATGGAGGGGAAAAATCATTCTTGGCCAGAGACCCTTACCCTCCTGGCTGCACTCTTGCCAATAAAGTCCTGCACGTGCTGGACTGCTGTGCTGCAAGGGCACACTCCTGGCTCCTTTTGCCCACCAGTGCTTCCAGGTCCTCTTCTGCAAAGCCACTTCCAGCCCGTGGGCGCTCAGCCTGCAGCACTGCAGGGGGTTATCCTGTCCCGGGTGCAGGACTGGCACGTAGCTCTGTTGGACTGCATGAAGGTGTTCAGAAGATGTGCAGATGTGGTGCTCAGGGACGTGGTTTAGTTGTAGACCTGGCAGTGCTAGGTTAGTGGTTGGAGCTGGTGATGTTAGAGGTCTTTTCCAACCTAAGTGGCTCTGAGATTTTATGGTTGACAGCTCTTTCCTCCAGACTGTCAAGGACTCTTGAGCTAGTACCACACAATGACGTCCTGACATCTGTTTTAATAGTTGCTGTGCTATTTCAAAGCCACCTGACTACTCTGCTGTACTCACCTGCCACAAAGAACATGTTACACGTGTTACAACACATTTACCTTCAGCAGTAAAGACTGGTGCAAACAACCCATTGGGCATCTTTGCTTTGTTCTTATCACTCCTGACTGATCTTCAACATCTTGGTCTTCAGAGAGCCCTGCTGGTCCCCTCCTGATTATCCTACTTTTGATGGTATTGAAAATCTTTTTACTATAGACTGCAGCATCCTTTGAGAAGTGCTCTTTATATTCTCTCCGTCTCTGAATTTCCTGTTAACATTTAACCAGACGTGTTTATGGGCTTTCTTGTGCTTTTCATTCAGTCAAGCTCTCCACTTCTTGAATGCCATCCTTTCCTAAGGACACCCTCCTTAGCTTTCTTATTGACCCATAAAACAGTTTTTTGTATGTTTGTTTTCTTTTTGAATTTTGACGCAAAGCTTTCCTGGGCTTCTAATACAGCATTTTTAACAATCTCCAGGCAGCTTATAGGCTTTCTGTTTTTTTTTTTTTTTTTGACTGATCCTTTTAGGATTTTTTCTAATTGTTTAATTTTGACGTAGCTTCCTTTCTTGAAACTGAATATCTGCATATTGGATTTATTTGGCAAGCTCCCTCCTGCTGTTAAATCTGTGTGAGTGATGGTTACTGGTACAGATCAGCCAGCACAGCTAACCCCACGTGAACTCGTGCTGGTGTACCATGCAGGACTAAATTCAGGAGGGATTCTTTTTGTGGACTGTAAAACTACTGTTCAAGGAAACATCCTTTATTGCACTCAAACGAGTTTTTGCATCCCCCTCTGAAAAGACATTGACTTTGTCTCTGTGTGGGTAGCTGACATCTCCCACTGCTTCTTACCTGTCCCAAATGTTGCAGCTTGTCTTTTCTCACTTAACATTTCTTGATCACTACCATCATCTAATCAGGGGGCGGTATTTCTACTCTGTTATTAAAAATTTGGAATTTCAACTGACAAGGATTCTGCAGTTCTCCTCTTTTTCTGTGATATTTTTATATTGCTACCCTGTGTATTTCCTTTACATTCAATATCATTCCCTTGCCTGCATGTCCTGCTGGCCTGTAAAGCTGGCCACCATCTACTCAATGATTATCTTTCTTTTACTGGCTCTCTGAGATGGCTGTTGTGTAGGGGATGTCATTTGATCTTCCACATTTCAATTCCATATGGGTAGAAAAAATGATTCCCTTTTTTTTGCTTTTGAATTTCCCAGCCTCTGAATCGCTCCTCTCTTTGTTTGCTATTATAAGAAGAGTATTAAAAAAAAAAAGGAGCGTGGCTGGAAAATCTCAGATATTCCACATTGCACAGGCAATGAACCCTGCAGCTGTGGCATGCAGTCCCAGGAGTGCAGGTTGTTCCTCCCCGAGCTGCGATGGCCAGCTTGGACACCAGTCACACAGGGGCTGGCTGAGGAAGGGTGATCTCCTGCTGGCAAGTAATAATTAGAAGCTGCCAGCGAAGCAGAGCATTTGGAAGAGTGCCTAAAACTCTGATTCCTTCAGAATATGAGAAGTATGTCTATTTTGGCTGCTATTTTTTGACTGTGAATAAACACTGGGTCTAGTAAATAACCTTAGGTTCCGTGCTGTTGAGCTTTGGACAGGATGGAAGCACACCACTGGTACTCTCAGGTCCTTCTTTCTTCCCTACACTTCTGCTCCTGATGCCTCCCTGCAGGGTAACTTGGACTGAGAAGAGAGCAGTGCTTTGTCAAAGGACTTTGCAAAGTCTTAATAAGCTCTAAATGCTGCTTCCTTTACATCCAAAACAGTTGCTTCATTTTTTACCTCCTTCAGAACTACGCACAAGCAATTTGAGGTGATTTACAGCTTTTTAAATGATTAGGATCTTTCAGAACCCGTATTATGACACATTAGTTTTTGTTACTGGAAAAAGTCAAGTCATGAGTAAGAATTCTTCCACCATCTGCCAGACAGAAACTGATTCAGCACTTACTATCTCAATAGTTTTACGTGAAGACTACGTAAAATCCTCTTTTTTCATCTAAAACGGAAAATTTACACTGTCTTGCTTTAATATTCAACATGAACATAGTTTTAGTGAACTGAATGACTTCAGAAATGCAAATACACTATTTGATTGAGATACTGCGAATTGATAGTTAAAAACATTCTAAAAGTGCAATTCTTTTCTAATTAAAGAGAAATATCTGGTCCCATCTGCACCATGGAGTCAGATCGCTGGCTGACCACACGCTGAAGAAAATTATGGGATGAGGCATGAGCTGCCCTTGCTGGAAAGGACTTGAAAGTATTTTTACAGGAAGATGTAATGAAAAGATGAATGAGGACACTGATGTTAAAATACTGCTCTCGTGACACTAATGGGTGGCAGGAAACATAAATTCTGGCACAGCGGTAAGGCGGTTAGGAGAGGTCATTCCTGCTGCCAGAGGCTGTTGAAGGCGAAGCCTGTGTGTGATGCTATCCTGGATAATAGCAGGTTTTGCCACAGCGACTGCCTAGAGCAGCAGCGAGGGAGCCTTTGGTGCATTTTGCTCGTAGCTGGCAGAGCAGCCAGGTGCTGGAGCACGCGTTAGCAGCACACGGTGTGGCGATGTGAGAGGGCAGCTGTAAGCTGAGGGATCTCCACTGCTGCTCCATCCACCTGGAGGAACCACCCTGGTGTCACTGCTTCTGTGAGGATAAAGCAACACAAGGACAGGTGCCTCCCCTTCCATTTAGGCTATTCTACTGAATTTCAGTAAACCCTTAATTGCCGTGATGCTCTGTGGCAAGTTTCTGTTAAAGCAGTATTTATTTTCACCAATTTAAAGCTGGTTGGGTGTTTGTTCTAATTTATTCTATAGTAAGTGTCTGCAACCATAAAAATACCTCTCTTTCTGCCTTTCAGGCTCTTTCTCTCTGGAATAAATATATTCCCTAACATTTGTTCCGTGATTTGTTTTCCTCAGGTATCTACTTATTCATCTCTCCTCCAGACTAAGTAGGACTGATCTGCTTATTCTCTCGTCTCCCCTGACCTCGTTTCTCATCATTTGTACTGTCATTTCCTCTTCCCCAGCCGTCTGAGCCAGCAGTTTTGTGCTCGGAGAGGAGAACGAGGCCGGCGCGCTGCTCTTGGCATCAGGTGCAGGAAGAAAAGATGACAGTTTCAGGGAGCCTACCAACGTTAAGCTCCTCATTAAATTCTGAAAAACACCTTCCACATATTCCGCATGCAGGCAACAACAGATGAATAATGAGAACTGGAGCCGGTTCATTTACTTACTGCATTCCCAGCCTCTGCAGCCAGCCGGGCGGCGTATCTGGCGATCAGCCGGTGCTCCTCGTCCAGCCTGCCGGGGCTGTCCAGGGCGCTGCGGGGAGAAGCCACAACAGCCGTCAGCATCCACACCGGGGTGACACAGGGACAGGGCAGGGGTGTTGCAGGGACACGGCTACCCGAAACAGGAGTCACACTGGGAGCAACCTCGCTCATTTCATTCCCTTTTTCATTCCTCTTCCAAAGTGGGGGCTGCTCTGGAGACCTCACATCTCGCAGCATTTCCCCCGGGACGCATACACTCCGCTTTTAAATGACTAAAATAATTAATCTTTAATAATTAATAAACTAAAATAATTAGTTTTCAGCAACTCATAAATACATATAATTGGGGAAAAAAAAATCAGTCTGTCTCTGAGGAGGTGCTCTGAAAACCCTTTTGGCTTGCTCTGGATGAAGAGGGTGCCTATAGGAATGAAGAAGGAGCAAAGCTTCGTCCTCGGGGGATCTGGGGTGACAAGTGTCAGAGCAGCACGGGCTGCAGGAGGAGGAACGGAGGGATGCATCCTCTGTCACTGAACAGCATGAACTAAAACGCAGCCGTCACTTTGTAAGGCAGCCTGACAAAGCCCGGCCATGCAGAACACGATAATTTCAGACCGGGTCCTTCACACCTCAGCTAGCAGAGGATGAAACAACTGAGCTGCCCTGCATCGCCCCACGCACACAGCCTGTAGCCGTCTTGGAAATGGTGCTGAAAGGGATGCTAAAAATATTTCCCAGCAGCAGCAGCAACCCTGACAGCACCATCGAGTGACAGACGAAACGGGACACGAATGCTGAGAAAGGACAAGTGGGGCAGAGACGGGAGGTGCTAGGTCCCCTGAATCAGGAGGAGGATGGAGAGCAGCACCCAGACCTTCCTCACCTCTAACATCAGCATCATCCCGTCTGCGTGAGGGATGTGGTCAGTCTGGGAATCAATTAGTGCCGGGAGCACTGACCTAGTCGCTAGCACTCCCAAATAACTGCCTTCAACTACAAACACATGGGACAAAAAATAACTTTTAAGCTGCATTAACTGAAATCCACCCATGTTAAGATCCAGCAGCAATGCAGTTGTGTGGCATAGTGGCTTTGCCACCAAAAACACCAAAAAACACAGTGTAGAGCCATGGGGAAGAGCAGCTTCCTAAGGCAACGTCAGGCTGAACTATTCGGTAGCTGCTTGTTGTCTTGCTGCTGCACCAAAGATTTCCATCACCGTCTCCCTTTAACAGGGAGCCAGTGAATTAGTTATATAAACCAAAACATCGTTAGCTGAAAATCAACATTAACGTGGAAATGAGCAATGCGTTTCATGATCATAGCTTTCCAAATGCTATCCTTGATGTTTCATGTGGGATTCATAAATACCTTGTTGGCAGCCTTAAATTACAGTGCTGTACCTGCACGCGTTTGCAATGAAATTCAGGATCAGAATCACACCGCAAAAAAGCAGCAGGGAAAAAAGAGATACATATCTAACACACAATAAAAGCTACTTTCAGTCCCCATTACCACTTTACAAGATAATTTACATTTCTTTAAGCTTCATTTCACAGATGTATGCTGACAGTATTCAAAGAACCAAACCTATGTTGCATAAATTATGTTTATATAAAAACACAGATAGACCTTTGTAAAGCCAAATTTAACAAATTGAGCTCTTTTGAGACTCAAAGTCAGCCTGTGCTTGAGATGGCACAGAAACAATGCACTGAATTTGACAGATGCACCACAATTTACACAGATGGGGTCCAGATTATTATAAATGACAGCACGATGCCTCCGTGTTTGGCCTGCTGGGGATCAGTGCGAAGGCACTCGGCTCTCAGCAAGCACCAAACGCAACGGAGGCAACTGGTGAAAGGTGAGATAAAACGGTGGGAAAAGAGAAATAAAAGAACAAAAATGGAGTCTTTACACCAGGCTTGGTGAGCTTCTCACCTCATGCTAATTTGTGGGGTTTTTTGTTTGTTTTTTTTTAAATGAGAACAATTTTTCCCATCCCACTTGCTGCGTTTGATGCTGGTTTTGGTCAGATCACCTCTGTAATTTAGCCTGCTCAAGTTTGCCTGCTGTTACAGGAATACAGACCATCCTCATCCCATTCACCTTCCCATAATCTGCTATCTCCTAATACCTCTCTCAGTTCCTGAACCCGACTGCCTCTTCTTACCTGAGTGACGATATTGGACAATACTTACTGACAATTTCGTACTTTCTCAAGGAAAAGCTGATTTTCCTTGTTGTGTTTTTTTTTTAATTATTATTATCATTTTTAATAGATAAATATTTTGTTTTTAGAAATATTTTCTGTCCAGAGGGGAAGTGGAGTTCAGGAAGACCTCCTGAACCTCCTGCGTGCTCATGGACACACAACACAGGTTTCAAGTAGGAGGCTCAAGGCTCCCCTGCAATGCACCTCGCTGTAGGACTAACAGGGCAGTAAAAACAACCTGAGAAACATTTTGGGGTTCTTTACATTGCTTTGTGAGGGAAAACTCACCTCCTCGTAGTTTTCTAGGGAGAAAATAGAGAGAATAACCCTGGCTGCAGCCCAGAGCTCAGAAGGGAGGAGGGCACAAGGAAGAGTTCGGAGATTTGCCAGGTGGCACAATTTTGGAAAGGTAATGCCATAGATTTCCCTGTCCTAAAAATACTGTCTGGTCTATTTTGATAACTTTGTGCTACTTATAGAGCACTGATTAGTCAAACCGTGAGGTCTCCTGCTTCTCCCTTTTAAATGCTGGAGTTAACACAAAGAGTGGGGACACTGGCAGGAGGACCGGGGCAGGGGAAGGGGACACGCAGGTGACTGCACTTCTGTGGGCTTAAGGCTTATGTGAAGCCATACCCAGGGAAAAAAAACAAAACCACATCTACTCAGGGGACAGATGTAGTCTGCAAACGGAAAGCTGAGATGGCAGTGCCCTGCTGTCAAACACTAACACAGCAACAAGCTCGGGCAGCCCAACTACTGGCTAGGGCTGGGGGACTGGTAAAGGGTACAGGAGCTGCTCGGACACGGTGGGAGCTTTGAGAGCTTCAGCTCCTTGCTAAAGTGCTTTGGAATTCATGATGCAGAGAAGGTGCAGAGGGCAGCAAACAGAAGGCTTGGTTTATTCTTCCAGCACTTGGAAGACCAAGTGCTGGAAGACTTCAACCTGGGACAGTTGAAGGTGCAAATGTCCCAGGTGCCAACCAGGGTGTGAGGAACCGGTCTCAAACTGTGCCAGTGGAGGTTTAGATGAAATATTAGGCAGAATTTCTTCATGGAGAGGGTGGTGAGGTGTTGGAACGGGCTGCCCAGGGCAGCGGTGGAGTCCCCATCCCTGGAGGCATTTAAGAGAAGTGTGGACGTGGCTCTGAGGGAGGTGGCTCAGTGATGGGACTCTGTAGGTCAGGCTGATGTTGGACGTGGTGACCCTGAAGGTCTTTTCCAACCAAGGTGACCTGTGATTCTAGGATTCTAATGGTGACCTAAGAGTAAGCATTTTGGGGACAGAATAGCTTCAAGGAAAGTGATTTTCTCTTTTCACTCTGCTTTAAAGTCAGTGGTGCTGCAGACAACTGTGGTTTCAGAGAACTGGGATTTTAAAGGAAACCAAATCAAAGCAGCCATGCATCTAACCAGCCATCTGTCCACGTATCAACCGACCAAAAGTAAAACACACAAATCTGGTGGCCAGCTATTCTGCAGGAAATGCAGAATACAGAATACATAAAAATAATGACACTCCCAGTAGGGCTACTTAACGTTTTTGGGGTGCAAAGCAGAGCTGGCACAGAGGCTCCACGCGGATTGTGGAAAGGGGCAGGGATGCTGAATGATGGGGAATGAAGGTTTTGAATGCCCAGATTAAGAAATCTGTAACTGTTCAACTGTTCAAGGAATAACGTAAAGCTCATCAGCTTTGTAAGCTTTCTCGCTGCGTGCTGCACCACTCGCTGCGCTCTGCAGCTGTCTTTGCCTGTGGCACATCCTTTAGGGTGGGGTTTTCTGTTAATTCTTTGAAAAGCACTTAGCCAATTTGGCCTGCTACCATAATAATACAGTCGGTAGAAAAAAGAAAAATATATTCTTGTCAAATAAATGAAATCCGCTGAGCTCTGTTTGCTATAAGCCTTATGTAGCTTGGATGGACTTTTTGGTTGGAGGACATCAGTGAATTAAATAATCCTTAATACAATGAAAAATCTCAGGGATGGAGCTGGCCACGGCTTAAAGGCTCTCAAGGGCTGGCTGAAGGACATGAAAAGATACTCGACGATAAAGAGCAAATGTAAGTATACACAACATCAGTGAGTGTAAGTGGAAGAAAAATTAGTACAAATTTGCAGAAGGGCTCTTCTTTAAGCATAATTAGTCACTGGGACAGACTGTCAGTGTGATGAGCAGCTCCTCCACCACAGGGCTCTCTGAAAGCCACGTCTTTACAGGGACGAGGTATTAGGCTCTGTACCAGAGTATCTGGTGTGAGATACAGAAGATTTTTTTGCCTTCCCCCTTTTTTTTAATAAAAAAAAATAATCAAAAAAAAAAAAAGATCAAAAGCAGTGACAATGGAGTAGAGATTTCATCGGGAATGTGCAGAGGCATTCCCTCGTACTGGCTTGGCAGACACTCCCATCCACAAAGAGAGCAGGATTAGAACTATTTTCTTTATGTTTGGCTCCTTCAAGGAGTATACTGTTACTCTGGTAACAAGCGAATTTTTTTAATTCAAAGACCTCAATGACTGAAAGCCTCTACTCCAGCTGGCTGCAACATGGCCACTATGGGCTACCCCCAGTATTTCACTCTGTCCTATACTCTGCAAGATGCAGAAACTTCTTTCTATCTCAAAATCTGATTGTTACAGTAATTGGCTTAAGGTGAGAGTCCAAAATTCCTGGGGTTCATCATCTTGTGAACAATATTATGGACTTGCAGTACGTAGCTGGTGATAGCAGACAACAGTGACTCACTGACAAGAAAAAAACTGACTTTCTCTCTGGAAAGCCAGAAAGCACTTCATCAAAACGGCAGTAGAATACAAATTTCTACATGACAGAGTGCTGAAATAGGACTAAAAACATTATCCAGAGGAGGACAACGTGGATAGAGCAAGGCCCTTACATATAGCCCCCAGATCACTAAACCTCTGTGAAGGTATAATTTAATTAGGTCCAGAAGTGGAATACAGAAAAGCCCCTGGCGATGTCCCGTGATGAAATGGGAGAGCTACATTTTGGGGCTTTAGGGTAAAAGTTCTCTGCACAGACACAGATATGAAATATAAATGTGCACAAATACTAAAGCTGAGTGAAAAGGATTTTTCAAAGCATTAGCATTCTTTGAAAGGCACAGAAAGAGACTGCCACATGATGCAGGTCACACTGATGGCACTGGAAGAGCTTGCCTGGTTAGCTCAGGTAGGCAAAGCTAGTGGTGGGGTGGGACACGTGCCTATGAGTGCACTGGAGGTGGAGAGGTAAAACCAACGAGGAGGAGGAAGAACAGTTCGAGTTGCAGAATAATATGGGCAAAAAAATGAAGGGTTTTGAGCTGGCCGTGAAAAAACTTACGGTGGAAATTAGATGGTTTCCTATGGGTGAAAAACGAGATTCCAGAATGGTCAGGAAAGAACATTTACCTTACCCCCCTGGGGTGATGTTACCCAGTTTGTGCTCTGGGCTCTCAGCACAGTGAATGCAGTGGGGTGGGACTGGGCACAGCGACCACTTCCCAGGCTGGTGCCTTCCCCTCTGCATGCTTGTGTGTGTGTGCACACGTATTTGTGTGGTTCCAGAAGGTTTCGGAGAACACTGAGTGTATTTCCCTCTGTTTGCTGGCCGAGGCCAAACACCTTTGACTGGAACGTGACTCCCAGAGGAAACAGCGTTATTGCACCCCCCCACTTCAGCAGCTCCTTCCTAACACTGACCGTGCACCGCTCTGCAGCCGGTTCACAAAGGTTGCAATCAGTGCATGCTCATCAGCTAAGCGGCTGGCAGCATCCGGGTTGCACTGTAACCTGGTAGTGATGAAGGCAAAAAAAAAAAGAGAGCAAACAGAACATAAATACATAAATCAAACATACATATGTGAATACAAAGCAAATAACTAATGAATGTTAACGAAACAAACGGTTAAAAATTAAAACAAGTAGATGAGCAATTAAAAGTGTAAATATGGTTCAGCAAATCACACGAACAAAACAGCTCCTGAAGCTAAAGGTTAAAACACAGATTAGGAGAACACTCGGGTACCTAAATGTGCAACCAATACAGCCGTGGAATTCCCTGAGCCTGCTGCAGGTTCGGGAAAGCAGCACCACCCCAACCCATCCGACCCAAGGCACTGGGCAGTCCCTGATGGCAGCAGGGACATTTCTACCAGCACCCGTGGTCTGCAGAGAGCCACTTCTGGAACAGAAAGCTAAACACAGCCACGGCCACTGAGGGGGGTGACCTCCTGCCTGCCTCCGAGCCGAGCAGAACTTACCGCTGCCTTTCTGCTGTCAGACAGCTCCGAATATAGGCCAAACCACCAGGGTTGCAGTTTTATTACTACGTCTAAAATTAGAACTGGAAGCACCCAGTTTCTTCTCTCTCTCTCATGAAACAGGCCACCAAACAAAAACACGAGGAAAGCGATACCAAACAAAATAATTAGTGGTTTGTAGCAACAGAACCACCGTCAGGCAGGGATTCCTTAAATGACATAGCATTGTTGTTTGGTTGGTTTGAGCACTTATAAAAACAAAGCTGTTTCACTTCTAAATATTTTCATGAATAGAGACTGAACGCAAGAACTATTTGTCAGACGTAACCCCACAGAAATAATTATCTGTCTGTATGGTCCAATGAATACAGGCTGGTTTCTACCACGCTTGTAATAGCAGCATCTCAATAACCCTGGCAGGACACAACAAAATGATTTTTTTTTAATCCCAGGCATTGCACAAAAAGGCAGGAACAATTTGTTCACAAACCCAAAGAGCAATACACCAATCCTGCTGTGCTAGATCTCTTCCACATCCATGTCAAGTTCTGCCCAGTATGACGTGCTGCCACGTGAAATGGTGCATGCCTACAGAGAGCAGGAGGTGAGCAGTCCTGTGCAGATACAGGATCAGGGTTGTTACCTTAAAGTCATTCGTGAATGTGCCATTATTTTAACATATTATATATTTCTTTTTGAAATACGAGAAATTCCATTTTTCATGTCTACGTCAGGTATTCAAGCTGCTCTTTCAACTTACAAACTGCAGTTAATTCCACACATGTCCAGGAACTATTTGTTTCAGCAGCTTTTATAAATATGGCATTTATTGCTTTCAGCATCGATGTGCAGATACTATGAAAGCAGAATTCACATTTTTTAGGCACACAAACTCTTTTTTTCTCTGCTATGTGCAGCAACATGTCAGAGCAGTCTGCCAGAAGCAGAGTAAGACCTTATGAAAAGGAGGCAAAGCAGAATTACCCACATCAACCCCTCTGGGCAAGGAGCAACCTTAGTAATAATGGCTTTGTAATAAGAAAGAGACTTAACATTAACCACTGCGCAGAAGAATTTTAAGCAATCTACACTCTGTGAAGGCTGACTACTGGCAACTACTGAAAAGCTTTATTTTAGATAAGCATTCTAGCTGGCACATTGCTGCAACCACAAGAATTAGGATTCTGAGACCTTTTTCATTACAACTCATCTCACACACACGCTTGTGAAAAGAAAAAGCCCAGCAGAAATGACCACACTGTAAGTTCAAAATGGCTATGGCTTGATGATGGCTATTATGATGATGATTAGCATTCCTGGTTTTGAAAGGGGAAAAAAAGAGTTAAATTAACATGAGTCTGAGCACTGTTCTTAGCACTTATCAGATTTTTCATTCACATTTCTGAACACAAGGAAGCTTGCTGGTGGTTCTCCATCCCCCTCCAGAGCATTGCTCAGCAGCCTCCAAACGTCAGAAAATCACGGAGTGCCAAACTACGGCACATGCTGGCAGCCTCCTCTCTGCCTTCGCCCGAAGATCTCAGATCTTAGAGAAGATTTGGAGAAAGAGGATCCCCAGGGAGGAAGCCCACTGCCCTGCTGAACGCATCACCAGAGGAGTAGGGGCACCTGGGGAAACTCACCGCTGTGTTCGCAGGCTGTGTCCCTGTGGCCTGGGATGAGCACGGGGATGTTCAGGTGTGGAGCATGAAAGCCAAAGCACAGATGGAATGAGCTTGGCAAGGGACACAAAAAAAACAAGAAGGGATTCTCTAGGTACATTGGCCAGCAAAGAAAGGCCAAGGAGAACGTACCCCCTGCTGATAAATGGCAGAGGAGAGAACTGGTAACGAGGGACATGGAGAAGGCTGAGGTACTCAACTTCTTTGCCTCACCCTTCACCACCTGTCAGGCCTCACACGTCTCTGTTTCCCTGAACCTGAAGATGAGGGCTGGGGGAGCCGAGTCCCTCCCACTGTAAGCCAAGAGCAGGTTGGAGACCACCTGATGAAGCTGAACGAGTACAAGTCTATGGGGCCTGATGCCATGGGTCCCAGTGTCCTGAAGGAACTGGCTGATAGAGTTGCCGAGCCTCTCTCTGCCCGTTTGAAAAGTCCTGGCAGTCAGGTGAAGTTCCTGGTGACTGGAAAAAAGGAAACATCATTCCCACTTTTAAAAAGGGTTGAAAGGAAGACCTGGGGAACTAGAGACCGGTGAGCCTCACCTCTGTACCTGGGAAGATCACGGAACAGATCCTCCCAGAAGCAACGTCAAGGCACATGCAAGACAAGGAGGTGACGTGGGACAGCCACCACGGCTTCAACGAGGGCAAATTGTGCCTGACCAGTCTGTATTATATATATTATTATCTATACCAATCAGTATTTCTGTGATGGAGTGACTGCATGGGAACAGAGGGTGACTTCACTGTGGCTTTTCAATACTTAAAGGGAGCTTATAAAAAAGATGGAGAGCAACTTTTTGCTCAATGAGATAATGACAGGGCAAGGGGGAATGGTTTTAAACTACAAGAGGGGAGATTTAGATTAGAGGTTAGGAGGAAATTCCTCACTCAGGGCAGTGAGGCCTGGTGCAGGCTGCCCCAGGAGCTGGGGGTGCCCAAGGCCAGGCTGGATGGGGCTGGGGGCAGCCTGGGCTGGGGGCAGGGGTCGTGCCCATGGCAGGGGTGGCACTGGGAGGGCTCTGAGGGCCCTGCCAGCCCAAACCATTCTATGGCTCTATGAATATCTAAGTGCAGTGGGCAGGAGAAAGCTTAGGGCTTAATGGCACCTTGTGAGTTGCACGAGGTATCACACAAATTTTCTAGGTATGCGTGTTGCTTTCATAGAACAAAAGCATTAAAATATAAATCTAGTGCAGGCAACCCTGCTCTGCAAAACTCACAAAGAGACCTGTGGTTCAAAGAAAAAGCATTACACCTGTATCCACTGCCCAAGCACCCCAGTGGCTGAGTTTTCTGCCCTGTTGGCAGAGGGCAGCCTGCACCGGTCCCCTGAGCGAGACATCATGGAAATGGTGGCTGATTATTCGAGGAAAGCAGAATTTAGGTTATGCTGACACACATCTTCAGCTCTTGTTTCCAAAGGGCTCGCCTTTTACTGAATTCAGATCCTCTGGGAAAGCCTGAGATAACTACAGCCAAGCTTAACTCTTCGCAAACTTCACCAGTATATCACCTCTGGAATGCCTGTAAAGCAATTAGTGCTCATCCGAAGCAGCTGCAGCGTGGTGATTTACAGCTGGGCAGCGGGGCAGAGAGCAAAAAGTGGAAGTAGTAAGTGTCAGAGCAACTGACAGGACATCACGGACATGTTCATTGTCAGGATATAGGCATGTATGCTTTCATGCTGGCCTCAGTAAGGTACACAATTATTTGGTATGCCCCTTGGCTCCTCCATCCCACCCAAGTGGGATTAAGTGTACATAATCCTCAGCCTCTACATTTCTGGTGTTTTGAGGTTTAAGTCACAAAATCATAGAATCAGAGGATCATTTAGGTTGGAAAAGACCCTTAAGTTCACGTCCAGCCATCAGCCTGGCACTACCAAGGCCACCAAGGCCTTTGAAGAGTGCTAGGTACCTTGACAAACTAGAGCTGTGCTTCAAGCTCATGACCTGAGGCATTTCGTTGCTTTGGCTGACAAAAAGCAGCATTGTGGCTCTGCTCATCCCAGCATGGCTCCCGTCCCTCCCCACCACCTCGGGCTCTCTCTGCAGGCCGCAGGGCCAGGCCCCACAGCACGGCACCACCACAGCGCAGCTCCTGGTCACCAGCCTGGACACCCCAGGGGTGCTCCCACAGCTGCTGATTAGGGTCGTGGCAAATTAGGGTGATTAGGGTCTTGCCAAGGTCTCTGGCCTTGCCAAATGCAGTTCTGCTCCTGGCTTCTCTAGGCTTTGTTTTCAATGCGTCCGATGCCAAAGGGCAGCTCTGGAGTAGCCCAAGGCAATCATGAATCCAAACAGGATTTGCTGAGTTACTCGAAGCAAAATGAGAGTAACAAAGCCTTAGGAAATTAACGCTGTTTATTCTGACATTTATAAAGTGTTTTACCATCATGCTGTGAACAGTAAAAGCTACAGAAACAACAAGATAACCACAGAACTGACAACAGCAGTGCCCAGACCAGCACCTGCATCCCTGCCCTTCCCTACGACTCGCCCACACCACGGCAGCCACAGTTTAGAAGTTTCTCTTCTGCCAGCAGGGACCTGGAGTCACATCTCCTATATCCTGAGGTCTCCAGTCCTACAAGGCCAGGCTGGATGGGGCTGGGGGCAGGGGTCGTGCCCATGGCAGGGGGTGGCACTGGGGGGGGACCTGGCAGCCCGAACCACTCCGGGATCCTGGGATCCCCTTGCTAATGAACACAAGGTGGACGTTTGGTCTCCTGGTGAAGCTGTTCCACACAAAACACCGAGGCACTGCCTACACTGAAGAAAATCAGAATGGCTCTGCAGCTTGGCAATTAATGTACAAATTAATTGGGAATCAAATCAAATGGGAAG